GGGGGGGGGGGAGACGACGACACGACGACATGGGAGTTGACTACTGGATAAGGGAGGCACCAGGGTGGAGGACAGGGCAGGGAGACTGAGGGCCAGAGGTGAGCAAGGCCTCAGCACCCATGAGCTCAGGTCTCTCTGGTCAGCAGGCAGTTCCTCCCTTGGGAGCCGGCGACACCAGCAATGACCTAGCACCATCCTTGCCACCCAGCTTGTCTGGGGCTGGGGCTGGGAGGGGGACACAGCCAACAGGCCCCAGGGGGCGGGAGGACATTATTGCTATTTCGCAGAAGAGTTTCCGTTCGTCAGGGCAGGGCCAGGAGCTTCTGGTAGCTGTCCCTGGAGCCAGTTCAGTTCACCACAGCTGGTTTGAGCAGCACAGAGCCTGGTGGGATGACCACCCAGCCAGGGGCCAGGGCCTCTGGGCTGCTGGCTGCTGAATTGACACCTGTGGACAGGTCCAGCACAGTGCCTGGCAGCAGGGGGAGTCCTTCTGGGCTGGGCCGGGAGCGGCCACTCTCAGTCCTCTCCAGGGGGGTCTTGCGTCCCTCCAGGCCCAGGGCCCTTGCTGGCACCACCCCACGCCCCTTTTCCCCCTCAGCCTTGCCACCCGTGGAGCCAGCCAGGAGGGAGACCACAGGCAGGCTTAGTCCACCAGCCCCAAAGGGTGAGGGCAGCAGTGGGTTCTTGGCCAGATTGAGGGGCAGAACGGGGCCTGGCAGCCCATGGCCCATGCCCGCCCCACTCCCACCACCCCCACCATTGCCACAGGCCAGGGCACTGAGATCAAGGGGGCCGGGGGCCAGGGGCAGGGGCAGGCCGGGCAGGCCAGGGCCTCCAAAGAGGGCAGCTGGGTTGGGGATGATGATCTGGGCCCCACTGACATAGGGGCTGCCGTCAGGGGCAGGCAGTGGTGGTTTGGGGGGTGGGCGCAGTTGTAGGAGCTCCTGCTGCTCATGGGACACAAAGTGGCCATGAGCCTTGATGTGCTTGCGCAGCGAGCTGGGGTCTGTGTAGCGTTTGTGGCAGCCGGGCATCTTGCAGTAGTAGGGCTTGTCCACGTAGTGGGTTCGAGTGTGCTTGAAGCGGTCACTTGAGTTGGAGTAGCGTTTGTTGCAGCCCTCATATGGGCAGATATAGGGCTTCTCACCTGTGGGTGGGGCTGGTGTGAGGGGTCTCCCAGCCCAGTGTCCTGCCCCTACCTACTACTTACTTGGTAGCCACCAGACCAAGATATCCTTGAAAATACAGACTGTCCCATTTGGGGGGCAGTGTCCTCAGCACCTGGCACGAGATCTGACCCCAGACAGCCTGGATACCCCCAAGACCACTGTGCCCTGACTGTGCGCCCTTGGCCCTAGTGCTATGCTTCAAATTGCAGATGACAGCCACTTCAACAGGTGAATTGAGGAACCTGATTACAGACTTCCATAAAGCCCCTACTAGGAGCACGCTCACAGTGAGCACTGATGAATGTTGACTACCCCTTATGCGGCCCTTACTCAGCAAAATGGCTCCAGATTTACTTAATGTGTGCTCCTTCACTGACCAGGATGGAGCAGTGAGTCTATGGGCCTTTGAAGTGTGGCCACTCCAAACAGAGATGTGCTGTGAGTGTAAAATACTTACCAGATCCTACAGACTTCATGCAAAATGAAGATTTTCAATGTCTCATTGTTATCTTTTTAATTTTGAAATGATAACACTTTGGACATATTAGATTCAAGAAAATATATGGTTACAGTTCATTTCACCTATTTCTTTGTACTTTAATTCAGCAATTAGGAAATTTATAATCAGGTGTGTGGCTCTGTTGGCCAGTGCTGGCCCTACTGTGTGCTGGGGTATGGTGAGGAGCAAAGCATACGCACTGGCTGCAGCCACAGGTGGCATGAGTCAGTTTTACAAATTTAACAATGCTGAGTGTGGTGAGAAGACCTGTCTCTCTGCTCCCGTGACCCATAGAAGTTTCCCCCAGCAAGTGGCATTCGAAAAGGTACCAGTCAACAATGGGATGCATCCCTTGGATGCCCAGGGATGCTGGGCACTCCACCATTGCCAGCCTGCCCAGCTGCTGCCCTCCAGCCCCATCTCTCACCTGTGTGTGACCGGTTGTGGATCTTCAGGTTCTCCAGGCGGGAGAAGCTCTTGCTACAGGTGGGGCAGCGGTGTGGCTTCTCGTTGGTGTGTGTGCGGATGTGGATGAGCATCTTGTACCTGCTCCAGGGAGGGCACGGAGCACGGCTCAGCTCACTGGACACCTGTGCCCCCTCCCTCCTGCCAGCTCTTGCCCTCTCTCACCTGGCATTAAAGCCTCGGCCGTGACGGGCGCAGCCTTCCCAGTGGCAGCAGTACCCTGCATCCTTCTCTGGTTTGACGTGGTAGTCATTGACGTGATCCACCAAATCTTGCAGGAGCTCAAAGAGCTGGTTACACTGCGGGGCCGGGGAGAGTTCTGAGCCCATGTGGGGCCACTCACCCAAGGCCCTGCCCCACTCTTCCTGGTCCCCACTCACCTTGGCCCAGCGACAAACCAGCTGCTTAGGCAGGGGTAGCTCTGGCGAGAGGCACTTGTCCTTGGGGGGGGTGAGGAAGGAGGAAGCAGGCAGGTGCAGGGCTCCCCCAGAGCCCAGGGGCAGGAAAAACTGGAAGGAGCTGGGGACGCTGTCCAGATAGCGTAGCGGCTGGAAATCCTGGCAGGAGAGGGTAAGGGGCAGAACTGGTCAGTGCCCTACAAGGCCAGCAGGCCCAGACCCCTTCTATCTCCTTCTGTAGCAACTTGAGTTGTCCCCACAATGGTATATCCTAGTCCTAACCCCCAGTACTTGTGTTTGTGACCTCATTTGAAAATAAGGTCTTTATAGACATGATCAAGTTAGGAGAGTAGCCTAGATAGAGGGGCCTTAAATCCAGCAACCCGTCTTCATAAGAGAAAGACTTGCACACAGACACACAGGGAAGGAGGCCATGTGACAACAGGCAGAGACTGGAATGATGTATTTACAAGGCAAAGATTGCCTGGAGCCACCAGAAGCTGTAAGAGGCAAGACAGGATTCTTCTCTAGAGCCTTCAGAAGGAACCAACCCAGTCGACACCTTGCTTTCAGACTTCAGCTTCCAGACAGTGAGAGAATACATTTCTACTGTTTTAAGCCACCCAATTTGTGATCCTTTGTTACAGCAGCCCCAGGAAACTAATATACCTTCTTTCTCCAGAACCCACACCCCCTCCTTACCGGGGCGGTGGGGACTGTAGACAGGTCACCGTTGCCCTGCCGCTCAGGGGACAGCGAGCTGCTGCCATTAGGGGAGTCCAGTCCTGATGACGGTGACAAGCTGAGGTCTACCAGAGGCGCCGCTGAAAAGCGTCCCTCCACCTTCTCAGGGAACTTGGGGTTCAGTAGGAAGCCTAGAAGAGAGGCACAATTCAAAGGTGCTGAAGGCAGGAGTCCTGGTGGGGCAGGCCCTCCCACCTCTGAATCCTAAGCCATGACCCTGGAAGCAGACCTCAACTATGCCATACCCCATGACCACCCTGGGATCCCAGATATCTGAGCAACAGCCTGTACAACTGACAGATGTGACCTCTGCAATCATGAAAGCTTGGCCATCAGCTGACATGAGAAGTGGGATGTACCCATTTTACAGACAGAATGATCTGGTACATAGTGTGAGCAACTGATTATTAGGAGCTTGAATCGAGTGCCCCTAGTTTCCCATCACACTGGCAGGTAGGGATCTTTTTAACTTTCCCTAGGCCCCTTCTGCCCCTGTTCCTTTTCGTGAAACAAGAGGTCTGAAGGCTACTTCTAGAGCCTTTGAGCTCAGAAGTGGTAGATGGGGTTTTCAGGAGCACCAGAGGCAAAGCAGAGGGCCTGAGCCCTAAGCATCCTCAGAAACACTTGCTGGGCTAGGTCCCCAATCACTACTGAACTGGCTGGCCGCCCACACTGCCTCAAAGCCCAGGAGATGGGTCTCAGGGCCCTTTGTTACTACATGGAAACCCAGCTCCCCTTTATCAGCCACTCCAACTCCTCCCAGAGGCCTCAATTTGAATCCTGGCTCTGCTGTTCCAGCTTTATAAACTGAGCAGTTAATTCCCCTTCTCCTGGGGATAATGTACTCTCCAAAGATAAACTGCTGGGGTGATGAATGGCCACAGTGTGGGGAGCACTCTGAGCCAGAAGCTGTGAGTGGCTGCAGTTATGTCCTGGTGGACACACTCTGGACATTCTATCACCATGCTTCCATCAGGGCCCAGAGACTGCTGCCCTGCCTGGTGCAGTACCTGAGGGCGGGGAGCCCGGGGAGCATGGGGTGGGGATATCGTCCACCAGGCCAAGCTCCCTGTGCAGAGCTCGGTGCCGGACCACACTCAGCGTCCTCTCCCGCTTTTCTCTTGCCGCCCGGAGCTTGGTGATGCTCAGCTTCAGGTCAAGCGGCTCGTCCAAGGAGTGCATAGTGATGGGGGGCTGGGGTTGGAGGTGGAAGCAGGTAGTGGGGAGCTCCCAAGCTGGTATTCAGGCAAGAACCTAGGGGAGGAGAGGAGCTGTGTTGTGACGCTGTGACCTCAGGCCTTCCTCAGGCTGCATTCATTAAAGCCCACAGGAGAGGGAGGCAGTAGATGTGCAGCACTGTGGAAGCTGTCTCCCCAGGTAGGGAAATCCTCTGAGTGGCCTGGCCAGCAGGTACCATGAAAAGAGCCAACCACCTACTCAGATCTTCCATGTCCACTTCCCATAAGTCTCTTCTGGGAAACAAAGCTCAAATAATCCATTTTGCCATAAAACTGAGTTTTAAGAGATCCTGCCTCAGGTCACAGAGCTAGGAAGTGGTAGAATTACCAGATTCAAGGCCAGATCTCCATGGAAATAACCAGCCAAGTCCCAAAGGTCATTTCTGACTGAGTGGCAAGTCATGCCTGGAACACATGCCCGGTTTGAGCAGGAAGACCCAGAACCAGGCCAGAGGAGTAATAAGTGTTCTCCAAGGTGGCCATGAGAGGTCCTCAGCTGACTGCTGAGCGCCTGTTGTACCGGGCCCCATAGGGATCTATGGTCACCTCTGAGAGAACAAAGCTGGGAGATTGCTGGGCAAAGCTGAGCAAAGCCTAGCCCCAAGGGATGGGGGTGCAGACAGGTGGCCTTGCCTCACAAGTGAGGTCAGGAGAAGAGGTATCAGCAGGAACAAGGAGCCAGAGGGCCCTGGGCTGCCACCAGGGGGCAGCTGGAGGCTGTGGCCCAGCCAGGCCAGCCAGGGGCAGGGTTGGAAGGAAGTGGACCTACTCTGTTGGTTAGTAAAATATATGCATATAGCATTTTTTACTGGCGATGACATTCTTTTATTATGAGTTCTCATGCTGAAATTTTCACCATTTTCTTAGAATGTCTAAATGGTGTCATTTTCTTCACATAAAAATGACCCAAGAACAAGGTCAACTCTTTTTTTGACCGGAGGATATTTTTTCCATTGATTTTGAGAG